CTTCGCTGGTGGCTTCGCTGGCGGCTTCGGTGGTGCCTTCGCTGGCGGTTTCGCTGGTGCCTTCGCTGGAGCCTTCGCTGGAGCCTTCGCTGGAGCCTTCGCTGGAGCCTTCGCTGGTGCCTTCGCTGGAGCCCCCGCTGGAGCCTTCGCTGGTGGCTTCGCTGGCGGCTTCGGTGGTGCCTTCGCTGGCGGTTTCGCTGGTGCCTTGGGAGCGGCCTTGGCCGGTACCTTGGGTGGAGGCTTTGGCACAGCTTTCGGAGGCACTTTAGGAGGTGCCGCCTTGGGTTTGGGTTTGGGCTTGGCCTTGGGCTTAGGCTTTGCCTTGGGCTTAGGCTTTGCCTTGGGCTTAGGCTTTGCCTTGGGCTTGGGCTTGGGTTTGGCCTTGGTCTTCGGAGCAGGCTTCACAACTGGTTTCGGTTTCGGCTTCGGCTTTGGCGCAGCGACGAACTCGATCGAAGGTGGGTTATTCGCTTCGGACGCGTCGCGTGCCTCGATTCGGTGATCATCTAGCGGAAGAATGGAAGAAAAAGCCGGGGACGATGAGTCCGAATCGGCGTGTACGTAATCTTCTGAAGGGGGCAAATCTCTTTGACTTCGAGCGAGGGAGAACGGAAGCGCAGATGAGAAAGGAGAGCTGAACGGTGCGGCGTCCGCCAAGAGTTGCGGAAGTTGTTGTGTCCAGAGCTGCACTCCAGCCAAAAAGCCCTGAGGTCGGTCGCCTGGAGTCTCCGCGCTCGATGCTGCTGCTGCTGCTCCTGCTCCTGCTGCCACCGCTCCAGAAATCTCTGTTCTTGCAACGCCAGCGGTTGCAACGAGCGGCAAGATGGCGAAGCGGAGAAGCAGCATCGCAAAGCGATGGCGGTGGCGATGGCGAAGGCTAGCCTGCCGAAGAGGTTCCGAAGCAATGCATCAGCTTGGAGCGAAGGAGTGGATATAGGGAAAGCACGATGCATCCATTCACTAACCGAGGATGTCCAGCCAGTCGCGCGAATTTCACTCCTTAGATGGTGATTTTGCAGGAGACCCAACCAGACGTGGAGGATCAAGTAAACTGACGCTTGATCTAGTTGGATGCCCGCAACAGGATGAATGCCAAGCGATGTGTTCCCGCTTCCCGCATAGGGCGAGCAACATCCGCCAGCCCATGATGCACCATCTTGGCGATTGCCATTATCGGAAGTCGGAGGTCCAACATCGGAGCCTGTTGTAGAAAGATTCACAGCAGATGTTCAAAGCGGACCGGGAGCTCGCCGAAATGTGTATAGGCCCCATGCGGCGTGGTCGCTCGCTCTGTAAAGACTTGGATACGTCATCGTCACTTGCCCAGCAGAATGTCTCGGTCCGAACGAGGTCACAGAGTTTGCTGGGTCTGTGAAGACAGCGATCAGCTGATGGTCTGCCTTCCGCGAACGCCTCATTATCTCGAGTCCTAGATTCATTTGATCTTCTACGCGTGCACTGCAGCGAAACCGATTCTGCACCCTATATGCTGCACGTTGCAACAATATTGTATGCAGTCTGCAGAGTTGGCGCCTCTGCAGGCCGCTGCAAGCTGCGATCTGCAATCTGCATCGCGTAATTTTTCTCTGCGTTCAAAACAGGACCTGCCATGCGACTTTTTCATGCTTCACGCATTACACGTGCCGTTAAAAAATGCCCCTGCGACAGACATGGTGCAAGTACCACGGAGCCCACGGCCATGCCAGCTTTACTGTGTCCATGCCGCGGCGCAGCTCGGACCGTTGGATACCGGCGACTGCGTCATCTTGTTGACTACTGCAGGCGATGGAATAAAGAACCTGAAGATGCGTGAATGCAATGACAACGGTGGTGTGAGATGTGGAAGTTGAGCTTGCCAACCGATGAAGAAAGTGAGGGTGCGGTTCAGGTAGAAAGACGCAGTGCCGCATAACTGCAAGCCTGGGAGCCAACCAAAGTGTGGATGGCCGCTTCATTTCATAATGATACTATCAGCCCTCGCCTTGTGTCGATCGCTCATGCCCTTGGGGCTGGAACCGGCGCTTTGGGACAAGGAACTGTTGACAGTGACGCAATGGCAATTAACTCCAGCCCGCTCCATCAACCTCTATGCGAGCAGCGGCGCCCGTAGCCACCTCCGTCACCTTCCGTTAAATGTGGGTTCACGTCCGTTGGACCAGGTTGGATTGTAACAAGCAAATTACACACATTGAGATGGCGGAGAGTGTCTCCATGCCACAGCGATCAGCGCATCATGCGTGTAGGGCGGCGTAGAATTTTTATTTTTATTTACATATGAGACGTGGCCTAGGGTAGCATTTTTCGGGGGATAAAAAGGAATCTGCAAATGGGCGGCCCAGTCCCAAGCGAACCTCAATGGCTTTCAAGCCGTCCTCACAAATCACACTGCACAATGCTTAGGCGTCCAAGACAGCATTGGTCTTGTGAGCGCTTAAGCAGGGAAGCAGCATCATGAGCAGCGATATGCGCCAAGCAGCAGCTGAGGATAGCACGAGTCCATTATGAACCGAAATTGAAAAATAAACATCGGCGTTTGCTCGTCGGAACCTGAGGGCAGGTCCACTGCAACTAACAGGAGTTATCAGCAAAAGTGAATACGCACAATATCAGTGCGGTACCTCGCAGTATCCAGATACGCCATGATGTACGCAGCATTGAACTGGGGCCTGTACGCTGAATGCGCTTGACAAATGGCTCAAGGCTTGCTTAAAGCGAGCGTCCATGGGTTGAGCCAATTATCCAAGCTGTGGAATGCAATGTTTGGTCATGACTACTCCATGAGACAGAGCGGGACGAGGATACCACGGAGTGCACGGACTGCGGACTGGTGGTACCTGGTGTGTTCCAGAGACATCTGGCTGGCCGCTGGGGGAGCCAACAAAACATGATGAGCAGGGAGCCTGGAAATTTCGGGTGAAATCTGGGACTATTACCATACTGCGCAACCCAGTGTGGATGAGGTGCCAGTGCGCAACAGTCGTAGTGCCATTCGTCTATTTCTTTCCGCCAGCTCGTCAGACTTGTGCCTGCCGGAAAGGGGGGCGCTATTGCTGGAATGCTTCCCTCGGGTCTCTCGCTGTACACATTGATACGCGCTGCGCGTCGGGTCGTTGAATTACAGGTTGTATGTCAACAATGTCTTCAAACCTGCATCATTTCATGCGAGAGCCTAGAGCTGGCAACACGAAAGTCGTTGGGATGTGAGGTCCGCCAACGACTCATACAAGAAGTGTGAAAGAAGCGGCAAGCGCTTCGTCGCCTCCAACGCGTGGCCGACGTGAATTGATGATAGTCCCCCATTGCGATCACTCAGTTGCGCTATCACACCACCCTTCCTCTCATGGGATGGCCGCCCACGCCTCGAACGCACGGTCAACAACGGCTGAGCGCTAAGAGTTGAGAAAGTCGAGAGTTAGCGGCACGCAGGAATTCCACAGGCCTGGCACAAACTCACGAGACCAGAGCAAGCACCCACGAGCTCTTGGCCACTTCCTGTTGCAACCGCCTCTCCCACAATCTCGCCGAGCGTAGAACACCACACAGCACCTGCGTAGACGACGGCATGTTCCAACGGCGTAGCGTGGCAGCTTCCGTGGTGCTGTCGATCAGATGCAGACCGCGCAAAACTCGAACAACGCTTCTGCAAACCTCGCATCCGCCGGAGTCCGCGACTCGATGCGATGCCGATGTGCATTAGTCGTCTTGGCCTTCAAGCGAGTTCCATGTTGAAGTGACTGAGAAGAGCATCTGCAGGCTGGTTTGCGATCTGCCGGACTCAGAGTCATGAGTCTTATGGTCCAGCCAGAGCGACACAGCCGCTCGCATTGCATACCTTGGTCGCACGCGATACATAGAATTGCCGCGCTGGTTTCAGGCTTGCAGCGTGGCCAAGAGGCTGCGCCTGCTCATTAATCGCGAGATTCCAGCGACATGAGCCCGGCAGCCAAGCATTTGATTGAGACTCCCCTCCGAGCGCTCGTATTCAGGCCTTGATAAAGCGCGGTCGGCAGGTCGAAGAATAAGACTTCGGTTCGTCTTTGTCACTCGGCGCTATAGACTCATCATCCCGTCCCTTCCCCTTTCCCCTTCCCCTTTCCCCTCCCCTTGACGCTGGCTCGTCGCTTCATTTGGCCTGGCGTTTCATATTCGAAAAGCGACGCTGGCTCGTCGAACACACCGTGCTTTGCGCATTTGCTCCACCCATCGGCCGGGGCCAAGCTAGCCCACCATGCGGCTCACTAGCTCGCTCTCGCTCGCGATTGCACTGCTGCTCTGCGTGCTTCACGTGGGCGAGGTTTCAACGTCACCCATCGCAATGCCCCTCACGCGGCGCATCCCACGGACACTCTTCGCACCATCAACCTCATTATTGGGGAGGAGGAAGTGGAACGTGGGGAGCGACAGCAGCAACAGCAGCAGTCACGTAATAGGGGCGCTGACGAGGAGGACGGAAGCGCGGGCCAGCGATAGCAGCCTTGCCGGCTTAATTGCATCACCACCGCCGATGATGGCGCTCGAACGAAGACAGGACGACGAGTCTGCCGCCACAGATTCGGCGTCCAGCGATTCGAGCGGCTCCGGGTATTGCCCCGATCCTCCTTACGACGACGGATTCTATCACCCGGGCAAGCTGTGTGCATGCTGCAAGCCATTCGCCACGTATGATGACGGTTTCTACCATCCGGGATTCCGTACCAGCGCGCAGGCGGCCGCCGCGGGATTGGATGTGCCGGATGCAGATGGTTTTACACCTGATCCGCCATTTGACGACGGGCTCTACCACCCAGGACGCGTGAGTAGAGTTCGCCGATGGGCGCAGACATGAGAACTCCCGCAGTCAGTCTTCATCCTCTAACTTGTTGAAAACCATGCATACACTTTGCTTATCAACATCTAGAAATGCGCGACATGCCGACCGTACAATTGGGTGCCTGCTACCCCTCCAGATGACCCGCCAGCCGACTCCGGTTCAGAATCCGGCTGATCGACAGGAGCGACAGAAGGCAAATGCTTCGTTGCTGAAGGCACGCAGCCGCGGATAATAGCGGAGGCAACGGGTATCTCATATGGGCGGCAGCGGCGGTGCTTTTCGATTTGGATGCATGGGTCGCATGTCTCGAAATCTGCATCAATACATGTGGCTTTTCGTGTAGCAGTGATCGACCCGCAAGTCGTGCACGCCGGTGCTTTTGCAATGTCGGATGAAAAAAATGTGTGGAGGAACGAGTGTGGTGTTTGGTGGTCAGGTTTGAAGAGTCAACCCTGCAAGATAACATGCCACATTGCGCGTGCTTGCTGGATGCGTATTGCTCTGCAAGAGTCAAGATCAAAGTTCAATTGACTTGTGCTTCAGCACGGGCAAGACTCGTTACAGCGCTTGTCAAACAATGAGTATGCATCTCTCAACAGGTTCGAAGAGGAATTGCAAGGACAAGCCCAGCTACCGTCCTGTGCTTTTGGCCCTTTATTGATTATCCTTCACTGGATAGCATCGCGAATCCTCGGACGGGTGACGCCCTCAGACACAATGCACGGTTACGAATGAAGCTTTGATGTGGGAAACTGAGTCTTGGAAAGGCTTGCAGCACTGTTAATGAAACGTATTCTTGTCCATTTTCAAGTGGCAGAGGGTGTTGCTCCTCATGCGCATTCTTTGGTCTATTAGCAGCGTAGCTTTGCGCTTCTTACCCC